CCCACCCCGCCGAGATGAGGTGTGGGAGCAGATCGTGCACTGGAGTCACAAGGGAAAATGAGGAGGGGGATCCAAGGCGTGAATCGGCCAAGTCAATCTGGCACACACAGATGTGAAATAAATGGTCGTTTCAGCAAAAGCAGTGTTGTTCACTCCACCATGCTTGGCATTAATGCTTGCTAAATGAGAAAGGACAGCTCCTTATTAGGGGCACGTTATCTTCAGGCTGCTAGGCCCTCCCCAGAGGGGAACTGAAGCTTTCTATGCAGGTAGTTGAAGAGTTGTGATAGCAACACGCTTGGGAGACCTGTCAGTCTTCTGTAAAGATGATGCAGGGACCAAAAGCCAAGCAAAAAGCTCTGGAAGGTGTAACTGCTAGCCATACCACTGCATTTATTTGTAGACAGAATTTTTCCTAGAGGCTGCAGAAACAGCTCTCCCTTTGTTCTCTGGGAGTGGACCAGGGGAAGAGCAGTTTCCCCACTGCCCTCACAGTAAGGTTTCTCAGACTGGGAAAATCACACAGCTCAATGCTTCCCCAGTGCCTAAGGAAAGCACAGGGCAGGTATCCTAGCACATGGCCCTACATGCCCGTGCACGGTCAGCACCCCAAAATGGCTGGTGGGGCTCCCCCTCCCCATTGTAGGGCAAAATCTGTCAGGATCTGCTGGGCAAAGGGTGAAGTTGGGCTTAGAAAGAAAGCACTGGCTGTACCATAGTGGCTGTTTCAAGTAAGACCCCTCACCATCCAAACTGCTGAGTGTTTGCTGTAATGCAAACTTGGGTGTTCTGCTCACAGTGACACATTTGGACACCTGCACCCTTCACATCTTCAACCTTATTGAGTAGCAGTTGGAGACAAGGAAGGATCTTCAAAGTGCCTAAAATGTCTCTGCACACTTACGTGAGGGCAATTGAATTAAACCTCTTTTGTTATGCATATGATTATTAATTGAGACATGAGAAGTCTGACTGCATAGCACCGAGTGAAGAGAGGAGCAGTGGAGTCAGTGTGGGTTTCAACATCGTAGCTACACGGCACAATAAAACCAGCTGCTGACATCCAGCTCTTCTGGCGTGACGGGGTAGTTCCTAGCTGAAATTACATTACCAACCTGGCCTCTGCATTGAGAGCATACACCTATACACCTGATTGCCCAGCTACAAAGCGGTTCAAGTACAGGATGAAGCCAGCATGTTCTGTTAGGAAGTCACATGAACTGGGATTCATTTCACCTATTTTAGATATCTAAACTGAGGCATGTAAATTGTACTGGCCATCACATCTTCATCTATGAGCAATGAAGATGGAGGGTTCCAGTTAATTCAGATAAGTTCCTGGTTTTGTCATTGATTATAAAGAGAATCAAACATTTGGCTGATGCAGCAGAGGGATCAATATTTCAGTGAACTGCGTTCCTGGAAACGAATGCCTGAGCAGCACTGAAAGCTCTGCTGAAGGAAAGGTAAATGTCATCCATTGCTCTGCCCTGATCAAATCTCCTTATCTTACCACAGAAAGCAATCACATTTTTCAGGCACTCAGACTCCACGATGACTGCTCTCCATCTTCTCCTACAACTGCCATGCCTTTTAAGAGGACTCATTCCCTGTTTTTCCTGGGGACTGAGGGGAAGTTGGCTGGGCTGTAGCTGCTTGCATCATCTGAGCCTTTTTTGACCATGGTGCAAAACCTGCTTTCCTCTAGTCACAGAGGCTCTTCCCCCCATCACCACTTTTCAAAGCTGGCAGAGAGCAGCTCTGCAAGAACATCAGCCACTTCCCTCAGCACCCTGGGCTGCAGCCTGCCCAGCCCCATGGACATGCACAGTTGAGATCCAACCAGCAAATGCCATATGAATCCTTCATGCCTTCTCCTGTGGGTCAGCGTAGGCAGAGATGCCAAGATGGTCCCATATCCTCAGCATCTTCTTCTCCAGTAAACGCGCTTGCCTGGCACTGGCTGTGAGCTAATGCACAATGGGATGCGCTGTGGGATGGGAGAAGTTGGGAGCTGAGCTGGAGCAGACCCAGCTGGCCAAGCATGAAGCATGGCACGCCCAGCTTGAGGAGGACTGGGGGATGCACAGGGAGGCCTCCTGGCTGAGTTCTTGGAGCCCATGCTGGAACCAGCAGCTCCTGATTGAGGTGCATCAGGCAAGAGAGGAGGCCTGGTGTTCAACCACCCAAGGATCTTTCAGTCTTTGTTTCCCAAAACACCAAGCTTTTAAGGAGTGTTTCGCTCCATTCTTACCTCCTGTTCAGCCTCCACTTTAACTTGGGATGGGCAAGTGGCTGCCTCTCCCTTCAACCCTCTCATTTGCAGTCTGAGGAAGAAGGAGGGCCTGGTGGCTCTCCAAAGAGCTGCACAGAAAGTCATGGCCCAGACCACATGGTCTATCACTGATTTGAGAGGTCTTCCCCCACGTATCCTTGAGCTGTTGTAACGGGAGACTTTGCAACAAAACAGGTGAAAAAGAAACACACCTCTTGACTAAATGTATTAGAAAAATATGGGTATTAGTCACTGATCAGAGTGGTTCTAGGATTTTTTTAGCTAGAGGGATCTCAGAAGAAAGTTCTGTAGAAGATGTACTCCTGTGTACGTAAGGGAACTATACTGTACAAACCCAGAGCAGTTTTGATTTCATTGTCAAGATAACACATCACCCACATTTAGCACAAGAGGGAAAAGAGACTCAAACAGTTTTTTAAAGAGGTGTAACTGAGGCGCAGTTCACAGGGGAAAAGCCACACTCTATCTGTAGCAAGGCGTGTTCATTGCACAGGTCCAGCATCTCAGCAGGATGGTGTCTTCAAACAGGAAGGTTGTCCTCCTGCTCACCAAGTGCCATGTGCTGTCTTCTTCAGTGGGACCGGTGAGGCAGCAGTGAGGAAACCTCCTGCAACGCCTGGGCTGGGACATGTTCTGTGTCCTGCATTGCCTTTTCTTGTGGGGTTGCGATGGTCAAATCCCCCTCCTTGTTTGAGGGTTATCTGCTCCAGGGCCCCTCCACAAGCTGACCCACGCCAGCCCTTGAGACTTGGGACCGAGTCTGTGGCCTGGAACCTGGGCTCTGCAACCCAGTGACGTGGGAATCAGGGGTAGCTCTAGGGGTGCTAGAGTGGGGAGGATGTCCACGGGGCTCTGGGGGTAATATGAATTCCCTGTAGTTCTGGGGG